AGCACCACACGGACTCCTTGCTGATACCAGGACAGCCTGTCATTAGTCCAGCCTGCTGGCATCACAAATACCATTATCTGACTAAACCAATCATCACTTTATCACTAGAAAATGTGCTGTTTATTTTATAAGAGCATGGTAGGCCCTTGAAATAATTCAATTGCTTCAACTGATCTTACAGCACGCACTCCACTGGCCTGCAGGGCCACTTTCCATGGCTTCTGCTCTTCAAAGGGCAAGCTGCCAAGAAAAAGGGTTTGCAGGAGAGCCTGAACGAAGCTTGGGGAGAGAACAGAGTCCATCCACCAGCCCGAGGACAAAGAGATGCTGCCTGGGATCTGAATTTTCTGGCACCTAAGCAAATGCAATGGATGATTGTCCCTTTGCTAGGCTGCCTAAGAGAACCAAGGGGACAATTTGTATTTGATTGTTTGTGGTGGCAGAGTCAGGCTTGGGTATTAATTGAGAGGACCAAAATGTGGGCAGAGAATTTGGGAGTTTCCCTTGGTGCCCAAATTCTGCAAAATACACTGCTCATCACATCAACAGGCTGATCCCTCTGGATTCACTGCACTTCTGAGCACAGAAATAAACCTCCGTGTCCTCCTCAGCAGGTCCTGCCCCACAGGGTGGGGAGACCTGATGAATCACCCACCTGCCGAGCAGAGCTGGAGCTCCCAGAGATGTGCAGCACCACGTGATTCCTCTTTAATTACACAGGGACTTAATAGAGTTTGCTGGTAAACACCTTGTAACCACATGTGCCTGGAGATTACCGGGTAATTATGCTTAGTGGATCACGATGTAACAGGGAGCATGATTTAGGAAAGACAGAAATAACCAGGCAAACACGCTACATTCGTCAGTAGCTGTCATGCAGCCTTCCTGCCCCAATGCTTAGCTGTCTAGCCTTTCCTCATGTCTCCTTCCCTGCCTTTCTGAGAGTAGGGGAGCCCCTCGGCAGGAATTTGAGAGGTGCCAGGGATTGGGATGGTCTGGGGAAACTTTCCACTTGGCATTCCAAATCCCCTGCAAGAGCTCTCCATGCTCTGACAGGCTGTCAGCTGCTCAGAGGAAGAAGGATGGAGGATAAACGGTATTGGCTCACCCCACCCTGACTTAGTTTGCCACAGAGACAGATTCTGGCCTTCCTTTCCAAGGGTGCATGCTGGACACAAAAAGGAATCTGGAAGATCTCTGGTTTGTGAGCCAGTCCCAGTCACCCACTGCCACACTGATTTAGATCCTGCCAAACCTGGTTCGACCCAGGAGCTCTCCGGGGTTTCATGTCCCCAGGAGTTGTGATGCCGTTGCTCAGACCAGTGTGGCCCAGAACAAGGGGCACCTTGCTCCTGACAAGATCAGTGCCAAGACTTTCAGCAGCCCCTCTCCTACCCCAACAGAGTTGGAGCAAAAGAAGAGATGATGTGTAAATCCCATGAGGCCCACCAGGATGACCCCTTCTCACAGACACCAGTCACTTTGTGGACCTGCAGCACCCAAAACTGATGGCTCCCTCCAAAACAGCAAAAGGGATTATTCACACTCACTTCAGAGAGTCTTAAATCCTCTGGGCAATGACAGCTTCAACCCTTTGCCTTTTAATGAGCACAAACACAGCATCAGTCCTGTTAAACTCTCTGCACAGATTCCAAGGGAGGTGTTGAATGCAGACATAGGAGATTTTAGGGGGTGATTTTAAGGGATGTTCTCTTGGGCAAGGGTTTGTACTACAAGTCCAGCTTCACTGGAAATGCCAAGCAGCACTGATAGGACTGTTTACTAACATATGAATTAATTTGCAAACAATTAGTAGTGCTAACCAGAGTGAGAGGCAGTGGTAGCATAGCTAATGTACATACCAGCACTGTGCCCTCCAAATGCTCACTGCACACCCAGCCAGCACCCCCTGCACCCTCAGGGCCATCTGATCTGCTCTGCAGCCTTGGGATATGAGTTTATGCCTGAGATCAAGGGCTTTTTCCTCTTCATCTTAAAAGCAAGATTTCTATATGGCTTAGCCTTCATTACGGGAGAGATGATGACATGGGGCCTCCAACCCTGGGCCCCATACCAAGGTGAAAAGCAAACCTCTGTCCACTCAGCAAGTGTGCTGTGCATGGAGCATCTCCAGAGATACATCTGTAGCCCAGCAAATCCTGCCCAGGGCTCCTGGAGGCTTCACAGATAGCTTTGCTCAAGAGCATGGCTTAAGGCCAGCCATGGCCCACAGCCACAGGTTTCCTGCCTCACATCAACCTCAGACAGGAGAGAAGTGTTAACAAAATGCACCAAGCAAAATGGAAAGGAGTGGTGGGAATTCACAGATCAGATGGTGGCATTTTATCCTCAGCTGCAGCATCTCATCAACTTGCCAGCCCCAAAATTTTAGTGCTGCAGCCACAGGTACATCTGTACATCATCAGGCCTTGCACAGTCTGGCTTCATCATCTATCCTCCTCCTCTTCCAGTGCCTCCCTCTCTCCTCCCATCTGCACAGGCAGGGTCCTGTGCACCAGAGGGAGACCAGACTGGGGAGGTTGGAGTGTCCCTGAGCCCGCTGGTGGATCCCACCACATCTGAGCCCTCAGTCACCACAGGGGATGGGGGGAAAAACATATAAAAAGTCAAAGAACAGAGCAGCAGAGCTGGCAATGCCTGGGAGGGCTGGCAAGCCTCCAACAACAAGTGGCACCAAGCTCACCTGAGCTACTGGACACTTTTTGTACCAAAGGGGTACAAAAGGCATGGCAGGTCACAGCCAGGGAGCATCAGTGGAGGAACAGAGATGGCACAGAGAACACTGACACAAGGATCCTGGGCTTTGTTTTTTTTTACTCATGGAGAGACAGATTTGAGGGATGCAGGCTGGGAAGGGATGTGCAGAGCTCAGCGAGGCAGCATCAAGAGGGGAGAGACAGCTTTTAGCAATGTTCACACCAGCCACAGAACATGCTGACGGGAAGAGGTGGCCCCACACCCCTGCTCACAGAACCAGCTGGGAGAAGATCGTGCCATTGCTAAGAAGAGATGAGCCAGCATTTGGGTATGGCAAGCCCTGCTTTGAGAACCTCAGCTACTGGGAAAATGTCTGGAAGCCTAACAGGGCAATGTCCACTGCCTTGCAGGGTTTGCACACCCCTTCTACCTAGTGTGGTCCCAAAGGGACATGGAGTAATCCATAAATAATCAGCCCATGGCACAGTAAGTGATCAGATGTCACAGAGTTGCCAAACCTTTACTAAAATACATGCCTACTTAGACCGAGGTAATGGCAATATTTAAGTAAAGACTGCAAAGCCATCCAAAGGGCTGGGCAACAGCCATGGGAGCAGCCTGCTGCTGGTAAATCCAGAAGCTGAGGCACAGCTGAGTGAGGCGCCCAAGGCCACAGAGCAAGGCAGCAGCAGAAGGAGGAGCAGCTCCCAAGGGACTCCCAGCTCTGTGCTCACTGCCTGCCCAGTGGCCTCCTCCCGTGAGTCACGTCAGAGCAACGGGCAGGCAGCACGTTTAGTTCCCTGGCATCTTGCTGTGTGTGGGAGGACCCAGCTGAAGGAGTTTTGCAGCACAATCAGATAGTTATAACACACCAGTGCCATAAACAGCCCTTATCTCCATCAGCAGCTAAGCCAGCTATTAAGAGCTGGAAAGGAATCCCAAAAGGAACCAACACGCATTTGTCAAAATTGGCTTAGAGGAAGCTTAACAGTCCCACCTGACCACAGTGGTCACGACACTGACACCACAGCCCTCTCAGCACCGGACCAGAGCTCATCACCCAGAGGAGCAGAGGGAGGACCCTTTGTTATCAGGCATCCTACAGGCTCAGAAAGAATCAGTCCCTATTGTTTCCTACCTGGGCAGCGCTAGCCCTGGTCCCCCGGGAAGGGGGCTTGCTCCTGTCCCAGGTGTGGCTTGTGCAAAGGGCACCTGGAAAGTTTTCTTGCCTCTGACACAGCCCAACAGAGCTGGAATCACCTGTTCTGTTGCCTTGCAGCGTGCCAAGGCATTTTTCACGGTGTTTTGCTTGGGAACCACCCCAAGCCCTCGGATTGAGAAACCTCAACACGCCAGTGCAATGGAGAAGTTGCTGCTCTGCTGCTTTCTGCCTGGGGGAGTGCTCCTCTCTTCACACAGCCTCCAGGACCCACGGGAGAGGGTGGGGGGGCTTCCCTGGATAGGTTATCCCGGGATGAAGCCCCTCAGGTGGCCATCAACATCAACTGCTTTGCCTGTAGGCTCACTGCTTTTAAAGGAAGGGATCAAAGCTGTGCCAGTGAGGTGGGTACAGCTGTCACACATCACATCAGTGAGGAAAGAGAAATTGACTGTGACTTGATCAAACCTGATCAATCCTTCCAGACTTTGCAACAAGGACACAAAACCAGAAGTGACCAGACTAGTACCAGGTGCCAGGTCTCATCTTATGCAGCACATTTCCAGGCTCTGCTTCTTTAGAAATTCATACATAGCGCATGAGTGCCACTGTCCCTGTCTCACACGCACAACAGAAACACCCACATCCCCAGCTGCAGAAGGTTCATGTTTTTCAGTATTGCACCTGTGCTTTGCTCAGGTCCCTGGTTTCTGGGTCCCTCCTTACCCTGCTCCTCCTCCCCATCGGCTCCTTCCTGCATGCCCGTTTGTCCACAGGCACTGGCAGCAGCAAGTGAGCCTGCTGCCTGTCAGAGCGCTCCTGGCTCCCTCTCACCATGTTGCGTATCGACATTTTAGTCGATGATCTGCCCTCCAAACCCCAGAAATACAAGCCAAGAAAAGTACTCAGTGGAGATAAGCACCACGGCTCAGCCCACATGAAAGACAGGCCAGGAAAGCCAGACCCTGTCAGAAAGCAAAACGCAGGCAGGAAAATAAACCAAAATTCCATCCCACTAGGCTTGTCAACGCTGTTATGACATTTTCTTTCCAATTCCTCCCAGCCAGATCGGCGCGGTATCAGCCCCATTCCAACAGCGAAGGCGAGAGGAAGCCGTACTCACTGCTAGTGCTCATCCTGCCGGTCCTCCCCTGTCCTTCTCATCCAACAAAGGGGCAAAGATGCTCTTTAAATCCGCTTTTCTTGACGGCCCCCGACCGCGGGAGGAGGCTGCCTCTCTCCTTTCCCAGAAGAAATATTTCCGTGCGATCCGCCGGCTATCACATCCCACGGCGGCTCCCCGATCCAGCGCGGCTGTCCCCAGGGCTGTCCCCAAGGCTGCGGGATGCCAAGGTCACGGCTGCCGGCGGCAGGGCGGGGGCGCGGCGGGGAGGGAGGGGGGCGCCCGGGACCGGCCCGGGCGGGAGCCCCGGCGGAGCCGCGGGTGCCGGGCGAGGCTCGGCCATGCACTGCGGAGCGCGGCCGCGGCCGCTCCGCTTATAGCGGGTGTGGAGCGGCGGCGGGGCCGCGCAGCGCCGGCACCGCCCCGCCCCGCCCCGCCCCGGCGGCACCGCCCGCGGCCGCGACCGGGCCGGGGGCCGGGGCACTGCGGGGGCGGCGGCTGCCGGGACACGGACCGGGACACGGACCGGGACACGGACCGGGACATGGAGCCGAGCGCGGACCCGGGGTCGCACTGCCTGTCCTGCCTGCAGTCTTGCCCGCTGCCCTGCCCAATGTCCTGCTCTGTCCTGCCTGCAGTCCTGCCCACTGCCGTGTTTTGCCTTGCTCTGCCATGCCCTGCCCGCTACCCTGCCTGCAATCCTGCCTGTTGCCCTGCTTGCTGCCCTACCTGCAGTCCTGCCCACTGCTATGCTCTGCCATGCCCTGCCTGATGCCCTGCCTGCTGCCTTGCCCTTCCTGCAGTCTTGCCCACTGCCCTGCCCGCAGTCCTGCCTGCAGTTCTGCCCGTTGCCCTGCCCTGCCCTGCTCTGTTCGGCCCACAGTCCAGCCCTGCCTGCTTCCCTGCCCTTCCAGTTGCCCTGTTTTCAATCCTGCCATCAGCGCTGCCTGTAGTTCTGCCTGTGCCTCTGCCTGTAGCTCTTAAGCCCCTCGGCTGGTCCCTCCATGTCACAGGGCTCCCACCCAGCCCTGGGTGACACCTGCTGCCGGCCCCACACTGCTCACTCTCCCTCTTGGTCCTGCAGTGCCTCAGCATCCAAGAAATTCCGTTCCAGGATAGAGACGGGGGGAGGCGGAGGGATACAGTTTATGAAGAAAACTGAATTTCCTCTAGTGCAAGGGTTCCCTCCCGCAGCTGTCCAGGCTGGCACTCATGGCTCTCCTGGCAGCCTGAGTGTCTGTCCCACGCCAGGACCAGAGAGGGAGCTGTGGGTGTCTGCATGGCTGCAGGATGGAGAGGGGGCTTTCCTCTCGATATCAGCAAGCAGCCTTCTCTGCTGGCATCAGGATTCCTGGAAGAGCTTCAAAGCCCTCAGCTCCTTGTTTCGTCGGTGAGACGGCTCTCTATCAGTATAAAGCCATACCCAGGCTGCTCCCCAGGCGCCTGCGGAGATGGGGCTGTGCCCGCCTGCCTGTGGAGCCCCCGAGAAGCTGTGCTGTGATTCCAAGATGTGAGCTAATGAAAGAGGTTTTTCATGCAGCATGACAGGCGCCGCATCTCTCCCGCTCCTGGGGCTGGAATGCCGCTCAGAGAGGGCCTTTTGCTTTCCCTTTCTCTTGCTGTTTTATTTGCGGCAGCAGATGTTCGCGGTGACGTGACAAGACAGGTAGCTGGTCGTGTGAGCTACGCCTGTGCTGCCAGTGATACAGCCTGCTCTCTGCAAGCCTTGCTGCCTGTCCCCTTTGGCTGTCCCCTCCCCAGCGGTGTCAGGTGGCTGAGAAGAGCAGGACTAACAGTGGGGGTGGGAGCCTGGAAGTTCCTGTAGGGCTGGGGGGAACAGAGCTGCTGATACAAGAAGGGTGGAGCACGTAGTGACAGGACAAGGGGGAATGGCTTCAAACTGAAAGAGTAGTTTTAGATTAGATATTGGGAAGAAATTCTTCCCTGTGAGGGTGGTGAGGCACTGGCACAGGTTGCCCAGAGAAGCTGTGGCTGCCCCATCCCTGTTAGTGTGCAAGACTGGCTTGGATGGGGCTTGGACCAACCTTGGATAGTGAAAGATGTCCTTGCCCATGGCAGAGGGGTTGGAATGAGATGATCTCTAAGTCCCTTCCAACCCATGCCAGTCTATAATTCTATGATGGTTCTATGATACAGTCCAGTGGGATGGCTTGAGCTGTCCCACAGTGCTGATTTGGAGCCCTTTGTGCAGTTTCCCTGTGCCTGAGGACTGTCCAGGTGTCCCCTTCTCGAGGGGAGAGCTCAGGACCCCCTGCTCATGTGTCTCATATCAATAACGCCCATTCGAGGAGTCAATTAAGCAGACACGATGTGAGCTGGTCCCCACGGTTCAGCAAACTAATTGAGCTTCTTCCACTGACCTGGTTTCAAAATCTTGTTAACTTGCTGCCTTCAGAACAACTTGAAATTTCAAGCACAGACACGTTGGGATTGCAGAGACCTTCAGAGGAGGACAGGGTGCTTTGGTGGAGCTCGGGGGGCAGTGCAGAACCTCTTCTCCTTTGTCCCCCCCAGCTGGGTGGTCCTGGCTCTGCAGAGCTGCACCATGGGGAAGGGGGAGTGGGCACTGCCAGCGGGGCCAGTGGGCAGGGTCTCAGGTGCTTCCCGTGGTGGGATCTTTGAGTTTTGGTACTGGTGAGATGGCAACAAGGAGCTCTAATCCTCATCACCTCCCCACCTCAGCCAGCAGCTCCTGAGGAGGGAGTTGGCCCTGTCCATGTTGTGGGGCAGTGGCCGGAGCCCCTCACCACCAGCACTGTCCCAGGGTGTTTTGGAAATCCCATTTCCTTTTCTTTGTTTGAGGAAACTGGCTGCAAAAGCTGCCATAAAAGGATGTTAGGGATGCCTGAGACAAGAATTCAGAAGTGAGGAAATGTCAGGATGTTAACGCAGCCTCCTTTCATCCCTTTGTGTCTGTGCACTGCAACACACTTTTCCACAGCAATTATTAGATGCGTATTTTTCCCACAAAGCGCCTTCTTCATTCAGCACCTGGCATGTCCCACAGAGCTCAGGCTGGGAAGTGGAAGGTGCTGCCTGCAGGACCCCACATCATTCAGTGAAAACAGATACAGTAGTGATGAGAGTAAGAGGACAGAAGGAAAAAAAGTGCTAATTTAATTTCATTTTGCTGATGGCTTCCCTGGGCACTGGGTTTCTTATCCGTGCCTCTGTGCTCTTGTGAGATACTGAGAGTCACCTGAACCAAACCTTCCCCCCCCACGGGGGGGAACTCTGTTCCTTCTTTCCCTGATGCCTGACTGGAACACCAGCTGGCTGATCGCTGGAAGAGGTGGAAGTATCTGACTGCGTGTGGAATCACCAGGAGTTGGGCTCAAAATGTATCTTTTGCTACACCAGCAGTAGGAATTCTGAGAAATCAGACTCACCGCCTGTCCTGCTGGAGTCTTGGGAAGCCACCAGCTGTGTGTTCCCATGTGAGGCTGTGCTCAGCCACCGTCCCTGTGAAGGGATGTTGGTCCCCAGGGCTGGAGGGCAGCCCCCATTCTGCCCCCTCAGATCAAGGTGTCTGAAGAAAACCCCCAGAGAAGGGGCTCTCTCCTCACTCCTGTGTGACTTGGGGACCAGGTGAGGAATGGTGAGGCTACAAGGGAAATATCGGATAGCAGGTCCCAAGGCCAGGAGAGACAGGGTTAGGAGAAGTCAGAGTGTTAAAAAATCACATAAAATCTCTGTCCTCAAGGTGCACGGGAGGATGGTCCATCAGCAGCCTTAGCTCTGGCTTTTCTGGTTCATTTGAAGCCGTAGCATCCCTTCCAGCACACCCGGGTACAGACACACTCACATACATGTTTGCAAACATGCAGTCACATAGACCAGCTTTCAGAGGTCTACCTATAGGAGCCCCAGGCTTTCCACCCACTTTCCCCTTCAACTGGAAGTCATTTTGGTGCACAATCTTTGCTGCTGGGCACTGAGAATCACTGGAGGAGTGGAAATGCCTTGGCCAGAGATCCCAGCTGCAGCCCTTGCCCCGGGGTGCTGTAGCACAAATGTGTCTGTCTGTCCCTGAAGCACCAGCTGGCCAAACGCATCCCTGCCAGCCTGAGCCCCCGGCAGACCTCCTGCATGTGCACTGGCAGCAAAAGGCTCTCCTTTCTCAGCAAGAAGATTTAAGTCCAAACAACAGCAGTGAGATGCCCGTGGGGACCCCGGCGAGGCACAGCCCAACGCCTCGCACGAAGCAGTGGGCAGGCTGCAGAGAAGAAGGACTCTGACTCATCACAAGCTGGTGACATTTTCCAAAAACAGCCTTTAAGTCCAGGGCTGTAATGTTCCCAGAAGGCAGCAGAGAAGCCTAAGGGGACTGGAGACCCCATTATAGCACAGCATAATGGGTATGGTCTGTGTCAAGGGATGGAGGCAATTCTGCCTCGCTGGGCAGTTCCCCATCCATATTTCTCTTCTCTCCTGCATCCCCCATGAGGTGAGATCTGGCAGAGGTAAAGTCAGGAGTGGTCAGATGCTGCTGCCCAGTGCCCCAGTGCAAAGCCAGCCTCACTCTTCTGGTGATGACAGAATTACTTTCCACATGATGAAGATGAGCATTTTACTTTGTGAGTCCCTGGACCACATAGTAACTGGGACCAGAGGCAGTGAACTAGGCAGTGAGTGTTTTAAGAGGGGACCCTGATGCCTCATCCAGTACAGGACCCCACTCCTCCTTCTCAGTCACAACAACCACCAAGTCATTTGCCAGTAGTTTGGCTTTTTTCCAGTTTACAAAGCAGCAAAACAGCCCTTCCCAGCAATTCCCTGCGTCGGCAGGAGGAGACACAGACTGGCAGAGGCAGATGTTCCCCAGGCTGCCTGCATTAAAGTGATAATCAAATGATAGATTATTTTCAAGCAAACTCACATTTTCAGTCATTAATTTTAGTGCTGTGCAAATAGTTTCAGCAAAAAAAATAAATACCCAGACAGTGGAGAATGGTTGGGATCTGGATCTGGTCCAGGCAACGCTGATGCACCACAGCCCATCTGTAACCTGTAGCAATCCTGCAAAGCAGGAAGGGATGGCCACATCCTTTGGCTACATCTTCCTGCACATGAGGGCCTACAGGCCCTCTGGCATTATCCATCTTATCATCACAAAGGCTGCGTCTCTAGGTCAAATGCAACAAATTTCCCAAACCAACAACAGATGACTGAAAACAAGTGCTGAAGAAGCTCTAG